ATAAACATGACTTTATATTTCAATAGGTGTAAAAAACGGATCGGTGGCCCGGATCAGGCACACCAAAAACCCATCCGGATCGGTGGATTGGGAATCCGTCGAATCGGTAGGATTAAGCTGTTAAAAAAATATAAAAAAATTATTAAAATTTATTATAAATATTGTTTTTTAGGAATCCAATAAGAAATCGGGGTACTATATTATTAATTTTCATTTTTTTCATCAATATATGAATATTGAGATATGTTTTCTCTGTATGAACTTATTTTAACTATTAAATTACATCATACAAAATAAAAATCATAGAACTATCATGGATGAAGTATATAATCATACATGGACTACAATAAAGAATGATTTTTTTATAAGAACATTTTAGTTTTTTTGACAAAAACCTTTTATTTTTTTTTCAAGAAATGTTTGTCGTGTTGCATTTTTTTTTTTGTTTTTAGCAAGAACCTTTTTTTTTTGACAAAAAATACTTGTTGTATTATTTTATTTTTATAAGAATTTTTTTTTTACAATAACTTTTTATTACTTTTTATTTTTTGATAAAAATCTTTTATTTTTTTTGACAAGAAAAAAAATTGATAAGAACCTTTTATTTTTTTTATAAGAAACTTTTTATTTTATTGATAAGAAAAAAATTTGACAAAGAGCAAATTGATAAAAAAAACCTTTCATTTTTTTGATAAGAAAGAAATTTGACAAAAAGCGAAATTGATAAAAAAAAAATCTTTTATTTTTTTCTTATGACAAAAATACTTGTTGTATTATTATTTTTTCATAAGAACTTTTTTTTTTTTGACAATAAATTTTTATTATTTTTTTATTTTTTGACAAAAACATTTTTTTTTTTGACAAAAAAAAGAAATTTGACAAGAAAAATAATTGACAAGAACCTTTCATTTTTTTTTATAAGAAAATTTTTATTTTATTGATAAAAAAAAAATTTTGACAAAATGAGAAATTGATAAAAAAAACCTTTCATTTTTTTGATAAAAAAAAAAATTGACAAGAAAAATATTTATAAGAAAAAAATTTGACCTCAAAAATAAAATTGACAAGAAACATAATTGATAAAAGAACCACATTTCGTCCCAAAGAGAATGGAACCCAAAAGTTATAACCAGTAACCCACATGCTATTTAGTAGCATTAAAAGCGCAAACAAAATATATAATATATTAATGTTTCAAGTTAATACCTTCACATTATCCCACATCAAAGAGCTAGAAGAAGGTTGTAGTGAATAAATACCTCTTTGTAGTTAACAAGGAAAACGTGTGCAAAGTGAGGAGAATCACGTGACGAGATATGCAAACCTTAAGGTACATATACTTTTTAAAATTTACAAAAATGGCCAAATTTACAAAAATGTAAATTTACAAAAATGGCCATTGAATAATCGGGGGACCATTTACAAAAATACAAATTTACAAAAATACCCATTGAATAATCGGGGGACCATGATGTCATGAATCGAAGCTCATGAATCTACCTATAACTTCATATACTTTTTAAAATTTACAAAAATGTCCATTGAATAATCGGGGGGACCATGACGTCAGGAATCGAAGATCATGAATCTACCTATAACTTCTTTGTGCCCAGCAAAGAGGAATTTCTAACTTCAAAGAGGCTCTTCATGTTATTTAGCATTCATATCCAAGAAGAATTTCTAATTTCAAACAAGCCCTTCATGTTATTTATCATTCATATCCATCTCAAACGTCAATTCTTGGTGACTGAGATTTATCAATGATTGAAGATGACACATATTGCGCGTATTTTTCTCTTATTTCAAGCAAATTGAAGTAGTTAAAGTTTTTTCATTTGGAATATGTTTATAATTGTGTATTTATAATTAAATACAAAATTAATTTAAATAAGGAGTGTATGACATAAAAGATCATTATCACCACTGCCTGTCAAATGTTAAATAAATTTGACATTGAGTGCGTATCTCAAAGTTCGTAAAACTATATTAGAAGTGCGGTAGTTGTTCACTCTTAGCAGCTGGATTTCACAATTAACATTACCTTTTTATGCGCGAAGTAAATTGTCTAATCCATTGTGTGAGGTATGTATAAGGCGCTTATCTTAAACGATCAGAGTAACAAAAACTTTCAAACCCCACATAAAAACCTTGTTTTGGTGTAAGAAACCCTTGCAATGGCCTGTAAATCTATTCTTGCCCTAATTATGACATTTAAACTAAAAAAATGGTGTTCATCGAGCTCATCTTTATTTTTTTGACTTTGAAAGTCGAAAGTTGAAATAATGTATATATGTATATTTTTAAAGTTTAAAATCTTTGTTTTTTTTTTCTTGTTATCCACACATCTCAGAGGACAAGATGATGGAAAGTTTTTTAACATCAAAACCACCATTTTTTTTTTTATGGGTTTTTGAAGCATGCCTTACTTTTATAATATAGGTTTATGAACTTTGTTTGGGTGTGGTTTTTACAAGGTTGCAAACTTAACCAATCAAATTACGGTGCACCGCCAAATTTTAACATAATATGTAATTTTGGTGTCAAAGAATCTTACGATTGTCTAAAAATCTAATTTCGTATCTAATTATAAAATTTGCTACTCCAAAAAATTGTTAAAATCAAGTAGATCTATAAACTATATGACAATATTGAAAATGGATGTTATAGATAATGTATTGCAAGATGCACTATTTTTAGGATTTGAATCGTTTTTTTTTTTTTTTGCATATTCATTAATCTCAATGTTGAGATGATCAATTAGGGGGTTTTTCAACATTAAAACAATCTTTTTCAAAGGATTTTTAAGGTGCATTTGTAATTCTACATTTTAAGTTTGCAATCTTATATAAACTTATTTCACTTTTGTTGTCCGTTAATGGAATTATAATTTGCAATATTAAAAAAATAGAATTCTGACTTATATAAAAAGGGCAAGCTTTATATGTTTCCCCTTCAGCATAAAACTTATATGCTTCCCTTTATCCAACTGTCTATTATGAATGGAGGGCTAAGATTGCCCCAATCACAATGTCATGTCTCTACACTATTTTATTTTTATTTTTATTTTTATTTTTCTATAAACGATTTTGACTTCAAATTTTGGACGTCCAATCCTCTATTAAACTATCACTAGAAAAAAAAATATATATAAAAAAATTTCAATAAAATGAAATGACCAAAATACCCTTGAAAGTTTCAAGGGGTATTTTGGTCATTATATTTCATTGAAAAATTATTTTCAATATTTCTTATAGGTGCGCCCCAATGAGAAGATGGCACGTACCAAATTTCATATTCATACAATTTGTATAAAATAAAAAACTAAAAATAAAATATTTTGAGATGTCGGATCTAAGATCAAATGATTAGTGACTCTGTTGATCAAAATTGAACGGCTGGATGGTAGGGGGAGGATAGTTCTTCTATGTTGTAGGGGAAGTATAGAACCTTTCCCATATAAAAAAATTTAGTATTTTATATTATAAGACTATTTATTTTTGAGAAAAGTTTATATAGAGCCAAGGCTCTAAACAATCAAATTTGAGCCTACCTCAAAATTTTTAACTAGAGGCGGTTGTTTTGATACCAAAATAACCTCAAATTGATCATCACGACGTGAAGACGAATGGACATAAGAAAAAAAAAGATTTTAAGTTTTCGAAACAGTGTATTTTTATAAAGCATTTTTAGACTATTAATTTTCAAGATTTTCAAGTTTTCATAAATATGTGGATGTACATTATTTTTTGAAGCTTTAAACTTTATAAATAAAGATAAAAATATATTTTAAGGCTATCACAAATATTTTCAATATTGAAACTACATTTTTGGATACTATTTAAAGGTAGGCTCCAATTTGATTGTTTAGAGCCTAAGCTCTATACGAACCGCACCCTTTATTTTTTTATACAAAGAAGTCATAATTACTTTTGGCCTTTGCATGTGAAATCCAATATATATAAATATATCACAACATTTGAGAGATTTTGTTTGGACTTGGTATTTAAACAGGGATGTATTTTTGACCGACCTATTTCAAATCTAATAATCAATAATCATTATAACTATATATTTCTAAAAAGTTTGTACACATATTCACCGAAAAAAAAAAAAAAAGGTAAAAACTGGTAGGTGTACGGACAGATACGGCGTAGGAGCACCCGCCACTCGGAATGAGTGAATGACCAAATCTATATATCGACCATCCAATCATGGGTTGGATGGAGATGGCAAGATATTGGTGAGCGGGAAAGGCCTCTCATGGCTACATGTTTCCTGTGGTCGTTAGGGCAGAATGGATATTTTGCGCGAAGGATAAGACTTGCAAAAGTGTAAGATATTTTTCACTTTGTTTTCGAACGTAAGTTCATTGCACTTGTTACAGTGTTGCTTCTCTTTCATGGCTTATCTTTGGGATATTTTCAGGTGAGTTCAGCCTCCTTTTCTAGGGTTTATCTAGGTTTTGTAACTCAAAGTCGTCACTGTTTCAGTTGAAGTTAACCCCGCAGGATTACCAGCTCAACCTGTTACTCTATTTCCATTATCGGTTCATACCAATCTCTCTCTCTGTATAATGATCGTTTATTCCACACATTCAATTAAGGATTGTGAGACCCAGCAGACATTTTCATTTGGTTCTTTTTTTCCGTCAATTTGAGGTTTCGAGATGCAGAATTTCTCGAATAACACAGCGAACATTCTGAATTTTGATTCAAAACATTCTGCAGTTTCTGGTATTAAAGTTCCTCAGGTTAATGGAGTTGAATATAACAAGTATAGTAAGGAAAATATGGAGAAAAGTTCCATTAAAACCATGAACTCAGAGCTGACAAAACCGGTCAGAATTAGCAAGAGCCAAAAGTGCAAGAGCACTGTCTCTCTTGAACGTAGTGGGAAAAGTAACATGGTTTCCTCTGAAAATGGAAGAATTAAGAGCTCAAATAGAGGGAAATCTTATGGTGGATGTATCCCTTCGATATTGCAAGCTTTAGAAACAGTTCAGAATTTGGATGATGCATTAAATCCATGGGAAGATAGTCTTAGTAGAAAAGAAAGGAGCATAATTCTCAAAGAGCAAACAAATTGGGCAAGAGCTCTTGAAATCTTTCAATGGTTTAAGAAAAAGGGTTGCTATGAATTGAACGTGATTCATTACAACATAATGCTGAGGATTCTTGGGAAATCCCGGAGATGGGGTGAGCTAAGAATGCTTTGGGATGAGATGGGTTGTGCAAAAATAGTACCCACAAATGCTACTTATGGGACTTTGATCAACGCATACAGTAAAGCTGGCCTGAAAGAAGAAGCTCTTCTATGGTTAGAAGAGATGAAAAAGCAAGGCCTGCAACCTGATGAAGTCACTCTGGGTACAGTCGTTCAGACTTTTAAGAAGGCAGGCGAGTTTGCAAGGGCCGATAAATTCTTCAAACGATGGTCATCGGGGGAAGTTTTCATGGAAAATACCGAGAGTAATAGCGAATCTCAAGTCGGGTCTTGTGAAGTTCTTGAGATTAATGGAGATTTGAAGGATAACACAGTTATCGAAAGAGAGAAACAGGAAAACAGAAGAAGATCTTCCGTCTTTCAGAAATGTTCCAGTTCTTATACTTACAACACTTTGATTGACACATATGGTAAAGCGGGTCAGCTTCAAGAGGCTTCAAACACATTTAATCAGATGCTGAGAGAAGGGATAATCCCAACCACGGTAACCCGTTTTCCTCTTTTTATTTTGGATTGATAACAATTCATTATGTCATTCTTTAGAGCTTTGTCTTGTGTGAAGTGTGTAGTAAGAATTCAGTATGCCCTTTTGTTGGGATGAATATGTTAGCTATTTATTACACGAGAAACTAAAGCACTCCTCATGGAGGTACTTTTTGACATTCATATCAATTTGTCCTTTTAAGCACTACTGCTGATGATAGTATATTCTTTGGATGTAATTTTCATCACTCACCAAAAGAACACAAGAAACGCCAATAGTGGCTAATGTTTGTTTTATTTTCTGACATTTATATCAATTTGTCCTTTTAAGTACTACTACTGATGACAGTATATTCTTTGGATGTAATTTTCATCACTCACCAAAAGGACACAAGAAACACCAATGGTAGCTAATTATTGTTTTATTTTCTATGTTAGGTAACTTTCAATACCATGATTCACATATGTGGAAATTATGGCCATTTAGAGGAATCAGATGCTCTTCTCCTAAAGATGGAAGAGCTCCGCTGCTCACCTGACACAAGAACATATAATATTCTTATATCACTTCATGCAAGGAATGATAACATCAATGCGGCAGCCAGGTACTTCTTGAAGATGAAAGCAGCTGGTCTGAAACCTGACCTTGTGAGCTATAGAACCCTTGTTTATGCATTTTCTATAAGGCAGATGGTTGGAGAGGTGGAATCTCTTCTGTCAGAGATCGACAAAGAGGGTCTTCATATTGATGAGTACACTCAATCAGCGGTGACTAGAATGTATGTAGACATTGGGATGATCGAGAAAGCTTTGTCTTGGTTTGAGAAGTCTCATAGAAGTGGAGAGCTGAGTTCTGAATGTTATTCTGCAAATATTGATGCATTTGGGGAACATGGTTATTGGAAGGAAGCTGAAAAAGTTTTTGAGTGCTCTATCCGTAGGCCCAAATTGAGTGTACTGGAGTTCAATGTGATGATCAAGGCCTATGGGAATGGTAAAATGTACGATAAGGCTTGTGACCTAATTGATTTAATGGAGGATCGAGGAGTTTTCCCTGACAAATGTACTTATAATTCCCTTGTTCAGATCCTATCATGTGCTGAGTTGCCAGATAAGGCAATATATTTTGTTCGAAAAATGCAAAAGGCGGGATTCGTGAATGACTGTGTCCCCTATTGTGCAGTTATCTCTAGCTTCGCCAGGGTTGGAAAGACAGAAAATGCAGAGGACATGTACAAGGAGATGGTTGGATTTGGGGTGCAGCCAGATGTTATTGTATTTGGAACACTCGTTAATGCCTTTGCTGAACTTGGGTGCGTCAAGGAAGCTACTTATTATTTTGATTCCATGAAAAGTGCCGGTTTCTCTGGCAATTATGTGATATATAACTCTTTGATCAAGCTCTATACTAAGGTCAGATATCTACATGAAGCCCAAGAAATTTTCAAATTGCAAAAGTTATCAGACGAAGGTCCCGATACATACTCTTCAAATTGTATGATTGATCTTTACAGTGAACAACTTATGGTCAGCCAGGCCGAAGAGATTTACCAGTCTTTGAAGCTTAAAGGAGAGGCCAATGAGTTCTCCTATGCTATGATGTTGTGTTTATACAAGAAGATAGGGAGGTTTGGAGATGCAGTTTGTATTGCTCGAGAGATGCATGGATTAGGATTACTTACTGATAGACTGAGCTATAACAATGTAATTGGGTTGTATGCTTCAGATGGGAGTTTGAGAGAAGCTGTTGAGACATTCAATCACATGATAAAATCAGGCATCGAGCCTGATTATTTTACATTTAAGTCACTAGGTATGGTTTTGATTAAAGGGGGTGCTTCAAAGGAGGCTGTTAATAACCTGAACTCAGCATGGAGGAAGAATCCTCAAGAAAGCATCCATTCATGGATGGCAACCCTTTGTTATTTGGTTGGGATGTATGATGAAGCTCTAAAGTCACAGGAGAAACAGAAATGCCTTTTTGTATCTGTCTAGTCTGACTATATATAATGAGGCCTGTATTCATTTGGCTCCCACATGTACTGATGTAGCTTACAAAAATGTGCATGGCTTGATGCATGTGATTTTATTTGCTTTAGATAATTCAGTACAGTGCCCTGTTTGCAGAGTCTGATATTTTTTCTCCCAAATCCAAACTGAATTTGTAGACCAATGGTTCTGCTGATGGAATTACTTGCCAGGCTTCAAACGCCGAGATAATCCTAAATTTCCAGGCCAGAAAACAAATTTAAGAAACGAAATAATTAGAAAGAGAAAACTGTGATCAGTTGCTTTAATCATGGAGGACAGAATGCATGTATGTAGTAATCCCACCGTAGATTTTCCAAGGTGAAATAAGGTTATTAAAACCATAGAAATATCTGAAATTTGCCATTGTCACAGATTGATAGATCTAATAGCCAGGCTTGTCTAAGAGGATCAAGCATATGGGCGGTTCATCTTGTTTCTCTAGTTAGCCCAAGCCATATTTTCCAGTGAAAGAAAATACAAGGAGCAGAGTTCCTTAATTGTGTTAACTATTGAATGCTTGTGACAAAAGAAGTATTATGGGTTGGGTTGAAACATGAAATTCGGCATTCATCAAAGGATTGTAGTAACTAGCATGGAAAGAAAATTCTGCCCTAAGAGACCTTAAATTTCTTTTTTAAAATTTGTACTCATGATGGCTATCCTCATTGCTTTGTTGTTCATGTTGTATCTTTTTTTAATGGTTGCTAGTATTGTAATTTAACTTCCATAATTTGAAATGTATATGTATTTCCTAAATTTTCATTGTACTCTTCTCTCACCAAGAATTGTTTTTTTATTCTATTCCCAATTATTGACCCATGCCTTTGGTTTCATCTACTTATGACTGCATATATCATGCCCCCGCGGGAGCATATTATGCATTTAATTCCTCAGGAAAAAAAACCTGCTTTATCATCATCATCATCATCATCCAAGCCTTATCCCAACTATTTAGGGACGGCTACACAGGTTCTGATCCACTATTCCGCTCTATCAAGGGCCATACCCTCAGTCAGATTGTACGTCACCATATCTCTTCTCACTATTTTCACTATTTTAGATAGATATTTTAGAGCCATACATTCCCTTTGCTATTTTAGAGCCTTTAACTTGAATCAAATTGCACCTCTTAACCGGTGTTGTTCTAATTCAACGTTACACATGGCCAACCCACCTAAATCTACTTTCCCTCATCGTATCGCTTATTGGAGAGGGAAAACCTACTATTTTTCACTTTCTGTTTCAGTGTGGTTTTGCACATGGAATATGGCGATCTCTAGCTTGGAGATGTGGGACGCGATTCGTCCTTGGTATCTCTAGCCCTGATATTCTTAGATGGTCGTTACTTTTCAGGTTCAAATCACATAGATTGCTTAATATGTGGTTGTCTATCTCCTTCACCACCATTTGGTTTCTATTGGGGGAGCGAAACGGGCGAGTATTTGAATTCAGATCTACCATGAGAGATTAAATAGTGAATCAGATTATCTTACATGTTCAAGCACTTGCAGAAGCTAAAGGGTGGTCATTTCACTTATCTGAGAGGGCCATCGTTGGGAACCTTCACATATGTTGGCATCAGTTGATATCAGCTCCTCCCATTCTGGTGGCATGGTCCTTTCCTAAAGCTAGGCATTACAAGCTCAATATTGATATTGTCTCTTTGGGAAATCCAGGTTTAGCGGGTGGTGGTGGGGTCATCCGGGACTCAACTGGTGGTTTCATTGCCGCCTTTTCCAAGAACTTTGTCTTTGCCTCTAATAATCATGCATAATTTTTGCCCTTGTAGAAGGCATTCATGAGGTTCATCATAGAAATTGCTCCCCAATACAGATAGAAAGTGACTCGGCCCTTTTAGTGAATGTCATTGAGAAATGTTGTCGAGCTCCTTGGTGGTTACAGACGATCGTTGATAATTGCCGCACTAGATTTTCGAACCTTCAATGGTCCATTGGGCATGCCTATCGTGCAGCAAATATGGCTACTAATGCTCTAGCCAAGAGAGCAGCTGCTGACCAGGTACTACTATATGGTGTCACCGTCCACCAGACTTTATCACTCCTTTACTTTTCCATGACCTGGCACAACTGCCTAATTTTAGGGTTGTATGATGCCTTGTAATTCATTTTTATTTTAATTAATGAAAAATCGGGTAGGGGGCCTCATCCCCCACTAACTTACCCAAAAAAAAAAAACCTTAAAAGTTCTTTGTTGTTTTGGTGAAAAATTTTGGGATGCACATTACAATCACCAGAGAAAGAAAAGGATTTGGACTTGCCAATACTTATATTTGACCATCCAAAAATTGGATGGTTTCCATTCAATATAATAAAATTATTTTTTTAGACACTTAGTGCATATGATTCTTTCATTTTGGAGTTGGTCACTAGGTTGAAGAGGTTACATCTCCAAATTTTGGAGTCATGCTCCTCGATAGGGTGTTACTTGAGGAAGTGAATCTCAGGAATACACACACAGGAGCATAGAATCTTCTGGTTCTACTTATTTAGGAGCCTCTTATGCACGGTTGGAAGGCAAGTCATGTTTTCGTTGGTTGATACCAAGGGCGGGTCTCCACCCACTACTCAAATCTTACTTATTCTTCTGTTGTTTCTTTATGAAGCAGTCAATTGACTTATAGTCAGTTTTTCATTACTGTGTGTCCCCTTCTTTATTTTTATTTCTTTGGATTGGTAAGCGGTGAGATTAGAAACCTTGATACTATCTTGCAATTTCACTGCCCTAATCACCGAGCCAAGAGCCCCACTCCTGTGACTGTCTCTCTTTCTTTTGTCTTTTCAAGTGCAGCTTGTTATGCATATGGAAACAAGAATGCTAATGTTTCCTCGACATTTTCTCGATTAACTTCAAAAAGATACACCTAAAATTTTACATGCATTCCGAGAAAAGTTCACACTTTTCTTTGATTCTTCACTAGTGATGCAAACTTGTCCATAAATGGTTGTTTGTTTATGTGCTGTATAGTGGGAGAGGGATTGCAGTATGGGTTGCAGTATAGCTAGGTAACAAAACTTGGCTATATAGTGAATGTTTTGTTAAATTGCTAATGTTTCATGGGTATCAAATATTCTAAATTGCCATTCTAATGCATCTCTTGATTCATTAATGCTCAAGTGTTATCTGCATTCAGTTTTTCCTTAAATATTTTATTCATCATGGGCCGTGAAAAGTTGCAGGAAAATCAATTATCTATTTATTCATTTTCTTTCCTCGTCAAATTGATGAAGCTTTGGAATGCAAAATTTGGTAATGGGCTAGGTATTTCCTTAAAACATGCCTGTCAACCCATTGAACAGTGAGACCATATTTGTGCACTACAGTGCATAGAAAGACCATACACTCTCCCATCTCGACTGTTGATCAGCCATGATTGTGCCAAAAAACCTGATTCAGAGTTAACCGGGGTGACCTCTGCCTTGGGTTGAGCACACATCTCAGCTGATTAACTGCCAAGATGGGCTAGTAGGTTGTTTTTCCATGGACCAGGAACGCATATAATACAGTCTCTTGTAGAGTTTGAATGGTCCCTTATTATAGGTTATTTATGAAAATTGGCATCTCAAAATTTTTCGAAAGATGGGCAGGGGAATGTTTTTTTGGTGTTTCTGCAATAAAAGTGACAAAGAAATGGCCCTTATCCATGAATTGCAGAGCAAAGCAGATGTTGCCTTTTCTAGTCACGAATGGGCAGTGGAGAGCACAGAATTATTCATTAGTTAATGGTCTGTACAAACTGGCCTCTGTTATTATCAAGGCTTGAGGGTGCAGAGTGGGTGAGAAGGGGTAATCTTCAAAAGGCAGTGTAAAGGACGATGGAGCTTTTTTCACCTACAGTTTTTTATTTTTTAGTTTGTTTAATGAATAGGGAAGTTTATAATTCCTACAATTTAGTCATACTTCGGCTTATGAGGATTGTTTTTTTTTTGGGTGAGTCAGGGGGGAGAGGGGCCCTACCTTTGGTAGGAATTGAGCCTATGATGTAGCGCTGCAAATCGTCAAGGGCTAACGTATCAAACCCAAGCTCCTTTCCTGCTATGAGGATTGTTGGGTTGTAGAAAGGAACTATAAGGATACGTTGGGTTGACATAAGGATAACTGGGGAGATAGGTGATACGTAGTTCTTTGTTTGCTCCTGTTGATACTTGATGTGCTACATTCGTCCTCTTTCTCGATGTTAATAAAATACTCCTCTTATTTGGAGTACACAATCCCTCGTTGGGGTCTCAATTCATCATTTTCTTCAATGTCATGTGTATGGTGACTATGGAGGAATTACTTTGTATTTTTCTCAAGCAATTTAGGGTGGATCCTTTAATGGTCTAGGGCAATGTGTGTGCCTTGAGTTAGTATTAGAACTAGACTCCTTCATTAGCGGTTAATCAATGGCCCATTGTGCTCTTAACTAGGCATTAAATATGAGGAGCAAGCACCTTGGTCCCTTCAGTTTCAAAAAAAAATGCACATTTGCCCCTAGCTCATAAGGAGAGGAATGCCTAGTTCACGAGGTTTATCTTCGTGGTATCAACCAAGTGGTTCATGAGATGAAGCATTGGACCATCATAATAAGCTTCACAAGAAAATTAGAGGTGGTTTCAAATGGAAGTATAGATCATGGACAGGCATGTGTGCATGTGCATTGACATTCAGGGGAAATGAATAATACAGCGGTTGAAAGCAATAAAAGGTAACAAAATTGGTAATTTCACACAACTTAAAATCATAAGTAATTTGTGCACATCTACACAGAAACAGCTACATCTTGCTGTTACAAAGCAATATAAGACTTTGACAATGACAGGTATGTGAATCACATGCACAGGCAAATGCAGATTGCTCACCAACCAACTTGTGCAGCATGTTAGGCCCGATAACACCAGTGTTTATCTTAAAAGAATTCACATTCAATTCCATGGGGAACAAAGGGTCGTAGAAAATGTGATCCATTAATTAAAGCAAATCAACCGCATAGAGGATACCATGGATAACAGAGTAACCAACAAATACGTAGAGCTCTAAAGGTGCCTTTGACCTTTCAGCACATACTCATGCCCAACAAAAAGTGGCTCAAACCTCATCTAACAGAGAGAGAGACCCTTTGATGCATTATAATCAGAAATATATGTTCTCAGCATAAAAGTTCCTGGTTATACCCAAAATTATTCCTACCCCTGCAAATACAAACACAGGGAATGCTAAATCACAACCCTAAAGCGAAACAATTCCTCCCCTTTTTAACTGCAATCCATCACTCCTTTAATTTTTTCTCGTTTTGTTTTTGTTTTCCTTTTTCCTTTTTCCTCTTTTCCGCTAACTTGTCTTTTATAAAACTGCTGAATGAGGTGGTTCTCATTCCTTCCCATCAGCCGCTCTCAGTGATCCAAGTTGAACTGGGGCCTGAGTCCCGACCACTTTCGAAGACCCATAAACTGAAAGGTCAATCCCCTGAGCTTTCTCTTTCTCAATCTGATCCTTTATCCAAAAGTATGTGAACCTCAAACCATCCTGTTGAAGAAAAGCAAAATCCAAGCTCCCCATCATGAATCCCAATGGCACAAAAAAAAGAGATTTTTTTCTTATTTACTTCTGAGAGAGAAAGAGAAGAACCAAACAAACCCAACCATAATTGCAATCACATCACCACAAACACATTTTATTCTATCAGGCCTGAACACATGGTTCTTTTCTTTCTCTTCTCTTGGGGAATAGAAATCAGATCACCCTTCCCATTCAAAGAAAGAGGGCATAAATAAGAAAAAATTGAACAGCATTTACCTTCAATTTCATGGTGGGTGCCCATCCCAGCTTCTCCTTGATAAGAGTATTATCAGAGTTGCGTCCCCTCACACCCTCGGGACCTGGAATGTGGTGGATGGGGAGCTTCTTGTCCTCAAAACTAAGCACAATTTCAGCCATCTCATTCATGCTCACCATCTCATCGCTCCCAATGTTCACTGGCTCCCTAAAATCAGACTTTGTCAACCTGAAAAGCAGTTATTTTAAGCTCAGAAAAATTTCTTCACATTGCAAAATAAGAAGATATCCTCATTTCTTGTTTCAAGATATCACTAGCATATCTTGATCCTTAATAGAAACATAAAATCAGTAAAGTGGAATACCTTAGGACGCCTTCAACACATTCATCAATGAATGTGAAAGAACGAGTTTGAAGCCCATCGCCCCACATCTCAAACTTATCGGTGGAAGTGATTGCCTTCCTACAAAAGGCAGCTGGTGCCTTTTCTCTCCCTCCTGCAACAGAGAGTATAAAGAAGCAAGCATATTTTAAAAAATTATTACAGTATGAAAGCTAGCCATCACCAATCTTAGAAACTGAAAAATTACTTGTATTATCAATCCAATAAAAAGCAATAAGAACTATAGAAAGTAAAATAAATACGCTAATAAAATATATATTTCCTTTCTGGTTTTCTTCAAGAGGTATTCATTAATTTTATATGGGAGATGACAGGTGGGAGAAATCACCTTTCCATGTTCCAAATGGACCATAAATGTTGTGGAAACGTCCAACACGGCACTCGATTCCAAAGTCCTTCGTGTAGTGTTTGCACAGCTCCTCAGTTGCAAGCTTCTCCAGCCCATATGCATCTTGAGGCTGCAATATCAATATTAAACTACTGATGAGACCATGTTCCATTCAACAATTATGACAAACATTCAACCACAAAAGCCTTTTTCCGTTGTCCCCAGATGGGTTAAACCGAGCTTTGCAAAAGAGACCAATTAGCGGTGGCTTAGCATCTCTCTCTAACCTAACACACATACATAAAAAACACGCATGCTCCCATACTAACATGTGCACTTGTGCACACCCACGAATAGTTACCAAACATCCAATTTTCTTCTCTATGAAAGAAAAAGCCTTCTCTCGTTTCCATAACTATTGTTTATTATTCAAAAACACAAAAAGTGCATTTCAATTTCATGGCCTTAAGAATAAAGTATAAAGAATACATTAAGGGAAACTATGAATGCCACAAACCTCAGCAGGCCAAGCATCAGATTCCTTCAAGCTAACATTTGTCTCCAGCTGCTTGAACTCAGGGTAGATGCAAGCACTAGAAGCATAGAAAAACCTGCAAAGAAATCCTCGATTATAATTTAGAATGTAACATATATAACTATTTATGATCACAAATGGATATTTAGTTCATATAGGTTTCCTACAAAATGGAGCACTTTTAGAAGAAATCCTATTCTATCTGTACATTAATAGTTAACTACATATATTATCGATTGAGTGTCCATCTGTTACTACAAATTAAATGAGTCGAGTTCTATTTTAGTAACATTGACCAAGAATTTCAGATTCAAAGTTAAAAACTCTGAGAGCGCAAAATAGAGGTGGAATGCTTCTACTGCAGCACAAGAAAAGAACCAAAATTCATCAACTTCCAAGATATCTTTCGATAACTTATTTTCAGAATATCGTTTTGAACGTTCAAAGACTTACCTCAATCATATACAAAAGAGGAAAAGGACTGATTCTATAGAACTCACCATTTTCAGCATAAAAAACAAATGACAATAAGACAATAAATTTAAAATCATCAACAAGAAAATGTTCTAAACCACAAAAAAGTTCTAGGTTTCCCCAATATTTCTTTCATTTTATTCATGAACTTATCAGTTATCAAAAAGGCAAAAAAGGTATCCATAAAGAATCTCACACTAAAAGTGCAGAATCAGTAGTAAGAAGGTAAAAATAGACCCATCAATCCATCAAGGAAGAAAACCATAACACGACCACCATCAAGCTCCTCACACTAAAACTCCAGAACTAGTTTAAAAAATAATAATAATAATAGGAAAAACAGAGACCCAAGCAAATCCAAAAAAGAACAATTACCTTTTAACTCCATTAATCCTCGCTGCCTCGAGCATATTGAAACTGATCATGGTATTATTGTACATAATAACAGAATGGTTCGACTGTATAAAACCCATTCCTCCCATGTCAGCAGCCAAATTGAAGACATGGTCCACACCAGTAGTGACCTTAAGGCAATTATCCATGACCCTTAGGTCTACCAAGTGAAACTCATGGCAAAACATGTCCTCGGGCATGTGCTCATTCTTCTTCCAATCTGAAGCTATGATGTAATGGCCCTCACTCTTAAGCCTTCGGGCTATGTGAGAGGCTATGAATCCTCCAGCTCCAGTGATGGAGATCCTCAGTTTCTCAGAGGGCCAGTATGATTCTCTCTCTAAATTCGCGTAAGTGTATTCGCCATAGCTGGTGGCTTCCTTTCCAGCACTCCCCATTCTGAAAAAACAGGGAAAAAACCCAATTTAAGATGAGAGAGAGAGATGGGTGGGTGGGGAACAAAACAGCTGAAAATCACTATGATTATAGAAAAACCATCAAGCTTTCCTCAGCAATGGTACTCCCATTACAAGAAAATAGATTCCTTTGAGAAAAAGTTTCAGTTGCTCATACGAAAAAAACATGATTTGCAAAGAAATACCTTAGCTGGAATAAAACGTACAACAACTTCCAATTCGTGAACAGAATAAGAAAGGAAAAACCACAATAAATCTCATCAGGAATAATCCAAAATTTGAAATACAAAAAAAATAAAAATAAAAACGAATAAAGGAAAAACCACTAAAAAAAGCATTACCATACAATCTAACCCCAAATCAGACTTCGAATTAAATTTCAATTCGAAGACTAAGATAGAACCAAAAAAGAAGAAAAATAAAAATAGAGAGAAAATAAAGAAAGAAAGGCACAAAGAAAAGAGACAGAGAGAGACGATTAGACCTCAGATTGTTCGAATTAGAAGGAAAAAAAAATGATATTTTGTAAAGAAGCAATGCACAAAGAGAGAGAGAAAGAGAGAGAGAGAGAGAGAGAGAGAGAGAGAGAGAGAGAGAGAAGAGAGGTAGTAAGAAGTACTACGTAGTAACGGACGAGACGAACGACGAACTACTAACCGAAAAGTAAAAAGTTAGGACGTAAGTAGAGGAGGGAACGAAGGAAG